TGCTGTTTGTTTTTTTATTATTGAAAAATTTTATCAAAAATATTTTTATTTTTCAAATAAGTTATGATTTTAGACGATATCTGTGAAGTATTATCTAATCTTATGAACATTAATGTGTGAGGGAAGAGAAATACTGTAGGTGAATAGAAAATCTCACATTATTGCATTTTATTAAATTGAAATTAATAAATTGACGATAATTCTTTCGTTATTTTTTATTTCGTGTACTATGTCGAATGGTTTCGAAGTTATAAACAATTATTTATATGCAGGTAAAACCTGATACCTTTCTGTACCAGATCCCCCCGTCCCTCTCATATAATATGATATATAAATATTTTTTTGCTGGAAATTAATCAAAGAATCATAACTGAAATTATTTGTCACCTAATGCGACCCATTTTGTATACAGTTTTAAGAATTACGAAATTTAAAGACTACACTCGAGTCATTTACTACATATTATAATGTAATATTTCTCGAAACTTTATAAATTTGAGCTATTTGAATAATTCTAATTTGTATATTAAAATATGATTTTATCATTTTATAGATATATAAAATAAAATTATATTACAAAGAGATTTTTAAGCTCTTATATGACTATAAAATTTAATGTTAATAACATATATGAATAGTGGTTCACATTCGCGTGTATGTATAATTAATTCATCATATTCATAAAACAAAGAAATTAACGAAATACAATAGAAAATGCAATATCATTCAAAATAATACTTTAAATTTTTATTTTAATAATTAATACAGAAAATTAATTTTATTAAATGTTACTCTTTTAGATTTAGAATTTTACGAGTATATTATGAATTACGTATTTTGTCCATATAATTGAGCTGTGCTTTAATAATAATAAAGGTAAGAAGAATTTTTGAAGATAAATTGATGTATAGCTAAAAGATTAAATGGGATTGAGTTCTTAAATATCTGTTATACACATAATTAAAATCTTTATTGTCTTTATCGTAATTTGATTTCTAAATTATTCACTGATAACTTTTCAAAAATAATCATAACTTACTCGCAATAACCTGCTCTTTTAATGTGTTGAAAGACTTGCCATACAAATGTAAAATAACTATAGTGTTATATGAGCAAATTTTATGAAATATAAGTATAAAACTGTCATATCGCAAACACAGGCACGTATGTAAGTAAAAATATTTCGCATTGTACCATGATTTTCAATCAGTTATTAATTATAGTTAGCTATAAATATCTGAAATTCCTTTTCATAGAAAACGAGAAAAAATAGAGTTGCCCTTGTCAACTCTGTGATACCCGTACGAATTTGTTATGATACCAGAATATGACTTTAACTTGCCGTATTACCATATTAATTCATGCAAAATTTCAGTACTATGTATTTTTCAAAATACTGAGTGTGCCAAACTACTATTGAAGTTGTATGGCAGCAATCAGAAAGAGCCAAGAAATTTTAGCGAATTTCATCAAGCACATCGGCCCTACTAATATATTTGCTAGTGTGAAATTTCAAATTATTGTGAATGCCACAGCTTTTATAGTTTCTGAGATATAGCCAAATAAATTTTGAAGTTGCGTATGGCAGCTACCTGAACCGGTACCCCGATCATGTCCAATTTAAATGGGGTTCTGGCACTTACTACAATAAATCATTTGTGAAAATTTGGTGAACTTAGCTCAATTAGTTTTTAAGTTATCGTTTAGCAGACAAAGCTAAATCAACTCAGAATTTGACGTTGATCAAAAACATACACTTGAATCTATATCTAAGACCGTTGTTTCTTAGCGTTACAAACGTTAAGACAAATTTAGTATACCCTTCGAACATATGTTCATACGGGTATAAAAACAAATGCGAATTGCGATAGGTTCAGAAACAGCCTAAAAATTGAATTTTTCAAACTTTTCATTTTTTAAAAATAATTTTGTTACTTTTGCATAGTAAATTAAATGTGATCAATTCATTATTTTTTGAAGCAGAACGCAGAAAGAAAGACGAGGAAAATGTTATTGTGAAAATTAATTAATGAAGCCACAATAACCACAATTTAATTTTAATAATGAAAAATTAAATGCTTTCTACAATATTACGAGTTAGTGCGGAATTTATATGAATAGGAAAAATTTATCAGAATTAAAAATTTTAATATAGAAAATTTAAAATTTTAATAATAAATGTTAACATTTTTATATTTTAGTAAAATGTAATAACTACTAATTTATTAAACTTGAAAAAAGGAACCTTATTAATTAAGTTTTGTTCACATTTACTCGTATTTATTTTGCAATTATTTATTTCAAGTGCCTAATTTGTTTTCTTTACAAATTATTTAGCAGACAAAGGAAGAAAAAATCCCCAAACTTATCTAAATTCTTACTAATTGGAATGCTATTAAAATTACTAGACAAAAATTATTCCTTTTATTTATTTTTTGATATTATTAACTACGTGCATAATTAATATGAGTAATTGGGTGTTAAAACGAACACGAAAAGAGTTAAACTTGTTATTATATTTAGATAATTTTTTTTTCATATAAAAAAATTTAATATTGCGATTACTTTAAACACTTTAAGAAATAGGGGAAAAACTTTCAAATAATTTTTATAAAAATATTATTTTCCGATCTAGTTTTGCAGTATAATGTTTTAAATAAGCGACTAAGCATAGTTATAAAGTTGAAAGAGTGCAAAGTTATAATTTATTAAAATATTAAAATTTTAGTTTTACATGAGAAATTTCGGTATAATATTTGATCCGTTAAAATTACACAAATTCCTAAAACGACAATATCTATAAAGCTTTGGACAAATTTAGAACATAATTAGTGAAAACTTGCACCCACAAAAATAATTGATAAATTTCGGTTTTAACCTGCACAATAAACATTGAGTGTGATATTGCTAGAATGACAGGTATACATTAGCGATTAACCGGTTTTTGCTATAGATTCAGTTATTAATTGACATTATTTGATTGGATTTGGTAATCTTAATTTTTAACTGTAAATAATACGCACGACCTTTAAAAATGTGTTTTTTTTTGAAAATTCATTTGATCCTTAAAAAGAGGAGGAGATTTCAACAAATTATAAGTTTTTTATTGTAACAACAGGGTTATAATGAACCTGAATTCATTACTTGTTTATTCTATTGTGCTCCCTTCCCAACTAAGTATACAGATATGACTTCTACAATATCATCCAACCCATCCCAACCTTTCTTTTAAATAAACTTGAGTATGTTATAGGGGACAATTCTTTGCAATCCTTCTGCTCCCAAAACAAAAGTAACCAAGAAATTCTTTTCTTCTATGAGTCAAAGCGCTACATTACAGAAGAAGATGTTTTTCTCTTTCCAAATAAAACAAATCGGTGTCATTGTTCTCCAGGTCAACTTGAGCAGGTGTATCCCAAGTTGACAATGTCAAATAAGGGGACCCGTGAAGATTCTCACCGGATTCCTAGATATCCCTTCCGCATCTCCTGTAACATTTCGTGTCATAATCTTCATTTAAATAGATAATTTGATAGTTAGCAGTGTGCGAGAATTGAGCAGGATTCAGATAACCAGTTAAACAAATTAAAATAATAATAAAATGTAATTGGTCTGGAAAATTTTATTCTCTTACGGGATTTAAATCTATATATATAAAGAGGAGAGGAAATTTAACTCAGTTATATTCGATTAAAAACATTTTTTTTTTTTAATTTCTTAGAAACTTTTTACGTTTTAATATTTTAATACCTATTTTTTTTAAATATTTTTAAAAATTTATCTATGTACATAAAAGAAAACAATTCATTTCTTAAGTGAATATAATTATCTTCTATTACTTTGCAATAAATGAAAACCTTTTAAAATCCGTACGGGCGTATATTTGAAGGGTATTAGAAATTCGTCACTCTGTTTGTAACGCTAAAAAGTAACAGTCTGTGATATAGGCATATATATTCTTACTCAGTTTCGAATTCTAAAACCATTGAAAAAATATTGCCGATAACCTAATGAAAGCTGAGATCTATACCAAATTTTTACATAGAGTTTGTGGTAGTTGAATACCAGAACTCTATTTAATACGAACTTTATCGAAGTTGTAGTTTAACCAGCTGTCTTACAATTTCGTACAGATATCACCGAGTTCACGTGATCAACTCATTTTTTTGTCTTTCCTTAATATTCTTGTACAATAATTACAAGTTAAATACTGTTTTTTTTTATTAAAAATTCTTTATTCTTCAGATTTGTTTTTATTTTTGTATTCTTATTTTGCGTTTCGTGGGAAGCAGAGTGAAAAATTAATATAATAGGAATTGTTTTCTTCTTATTTTTTATTATTTTTTTTTTGTAAACCTAATTTAAAAAATCTCATGCGAATTTATAACTCTTGTTTATAATAATAAAATGGGAAAATTGTTTAAACAAATTTTTCTAAAACATTCAATTTTGTACTTACTTAACAAAAACATAACAAACAAGTAAAAAGAAGACGAAATTTATAGAGAAAGTATTAAAAAAATTTAAATTTTTTTAAATTTAATGTTGATTTATAATTACATTTTTGATTAATGGTATTATAACAGATTTTAAAGTTTAAATTTAAAATTTTCTCTTTACAAATCTTTGCCAGATTAATATTAAGGAATCACCATAATATTATAAGAGTTACTCTATAAAATAATTAGTAAATATGCACTGAATTTTTAAAATAATAAAATTTAAAATATTTTTAGCAGAAGAAACTATTGTGGTTAATGTATTCTAAGGCACGGTGCCTAATTAATTCAATTCTTCAATTCTTCTATATTATTTTTCATAAATAAAACTATAAGGTAAAATTTAAAGGGCATATGAAGCGGATTTGAAACAAAAAGATCTGAATAATTTCTTAATAAAGCTATGCAAAACAAATTAGTAATACTGACTCTAAATAAAATAAAATAAAATTAACCTTGTGTTTCACTACACTACATTCACTACAGAAATATAAAACTCACCTGTTTGTTATACTTACAAATCTTTCTTGCAAAATTTTATACAAAAAAAAAAACAAATTGTAAATTTTGCTTATTAAATAAAATAAAATATTTAGTAAAATTTATTAAATAATCAAATAAAATTAAAAAATAATTTTAAACTCGCGAACAAAACAACCATATAAGATTATTGCCAGTTTAAAACTGATTCTCGCTTTTGAGTTTTAAAGATTCTTCTTTTAATAATAATAAAAAAATAAGAGTAAATAAGAGTAAAAGAAACAAAAAGACAAAAGGAAATTTTTTTAAGCTTAAATATACAAAAAAAAAAAAGGGTTTACGTACCTTTACGTTGCGTGAGTAAAAATATATTTTTTTTTCTTATTTTGCTTTCTTGTTACCTTCGTATCTTTGTTATAATTAAAACATAATCAGGCATTCTCAATTTTTTTTTTATTATTGAAACTTTTGAAGCGATAATTTAAGTCATAGCCAGATCTATGACGATTATCTACAAATTATTAAGCTCATGTTAGTTTGAATGTTAATTATGTTACTCATAAACTGAATACAGGGGCCGTTTACTTGCCTCATTAAAAATATGTACTAAATATACTTATTTTTAATTTAAGTTCAATTAAAGAATACATGATTTTCATGAGATACATTAATAATTAATTTATATAGCAGATGCAATTTCTATATAACAATTATATTTTATTAAATATTTTGAAATTTTAATAATTAATTGTTATACTTTTAATACGACGAAAATTAATTTTAACAAAACTAGGGCAATATAACACATTATGGCTGCATAATTTATTTCTTACTGTGCTTATCAAAACCCATTTTAAACAGCAGTCATAAAATAATATACAAGAGTTCCAATACAATTTAAGTACACCATAGGAGAAGCCTCTATTTTTTTTAGAAAGCTATGATTTTTGAGAAGCTATGAATTTTTAATGTTTGGTGCTTGAAAAAATTTATTTTTTCGCTCTTTATTTTTTGTCTTTTTTTGCAGGTGAGAACTTTTGAAGTAATTCTTTGCCTGTTGATTTATTACACTTTGCGTTTTCTCATGCGATTTTTAGCATTTCCTTTTAACTTTAATATAATTTAAAACTGTTTCTTTTGTATATTCTTCATTTTATTGTTGAGGTAACAATAAATATATTAAATGTCCGAATTTTTTGGATACTAAAAGAAAAAAATTAAAATTTTTTTTTTTGTTTAGGATTTTTTAATAAGGGAAAGAAAAAGTTCATGAAAAAAATGGAAAGGAAATTTATACTCTAAAAATTTCATTATATTATTAATTACTTAGTACTTGATATAAGTTTACGAATTATGCAGCAGCTTGGGGAACAAATTATTGTTTAATTTAAGAATTATAGAAGTATGAAATAACAGTAAGTAATTAATTAATTGCATGCAGAGTTGTTTACTAGCTCTCAAAATAACTAACTCTTTTTCTAATTCTTTTTTTTCAATTTTATTATGTTATTTTTGTAAGAAAACAATTTATAAAATTGCATATAATATTACAAATTCTTATAAAAGTTTAAATACATTATCAATCAATATTATATTGAAGTATTATTGCTAATATCAACAGTTTTCTCATCCAAATAATCGGATCTAACATCTGGAAACCAACCAATTAGCATAACAATATAACAAATTACTAATATAAGAAATAATATGGTATCAAGCAATTTAACAGCAAAAAACCATATATTGTCGCCATCAATTGAATTTCCTTGATTTTCTGTTTTATTTCCAGCTTCGCTATCAACTAAATTAACTGAATCATTAGTTGTGGTTTCGTTATTTGGTCGCATCTAAAAAAAAAACATTAAAGTTTATAAACACTTTTAAAGTATCATAAGAGTTTCGATTGTCCGCCAAAAGTTTGTATTTAAAATAAGTACTGAAGGGCTTTCAAAGGCAAAAAAAAAGTTTTTCTAAGAACGTCGATACAAATTTGTTGTTCCATGTTTAATTTACTTAATACTTTGCAATATAATTTTGAGAAAGTTGTCGTGTACAGAATTTTGAACAATTTCCAGTGTACTTTTAATTTAGAATGTAAAATGTTGGACGATAAGTAAGGAAATTTCTCAAAATTTCGTATATTAGTTTTGTTTATTTAAAACTTTAAATGAAAATCTAAATTTTATAGATTAAATATGATAATGTTAGCTATTTACATTGGCACAATTATTTACAACGTATAGATTTTCAAACATGAGCTTCCCACGTAAGATAGCAAGTTATCGTTTGCAATTATAAAACTGTTATAATAATTAAAATGCCTTGGTAATAAATTAATAAAATTAAAATAATTTTAATGGAATGTTAACAATTTTTAAATTAAATTGCAAATTATAGGAAAGAAAGCTCCATCCTTGGGCACTAAAAATGATATTTCATGCAGAATAATGTACATAACATTGTTCACAACACTATTGAATAAACTATTGAATAAACCGTTAAACCTATTCTTTCGGTAATATTTAGAGCTAACCATAGTATTGGCAGATTTAGTAGTCCAGTAATTTAAAATGAACAAAAAAAGCAAAATTTTTCAAAGTATATAGGCGAATATCAGTACATACTGTTTAAACAATAAAAAAAATCGAGGAGGAACGTATATGAAAGATATTATAATATGTTTTTAGCAAATATCGAAAATAAATAAAAAAGTAGTGGCGGATAATGGTTATTGATATTAGAATTTAAATATACATTAGTTCCTCTATTTATTAAGTATGGATTTTCAAACATGAATTGTCCAACTTTGTGACCACGTAAAGTTTCTGTAAATGATCTAATCCATTGCGGTGAATTTCGGCGACATGATAATAAACCTCTACATAACATCGTCTCAGCAAGTAAAATTTGCGTAATTATTAATGAATCTCTAAAGTAAAGTACTGAAATTTACAATAAAATTTAGGGTTACGTACATTTCTCTTAATAATTTCATAATAATTACAAACTATTGGAACTTCATCTCCATTTCTCGGTAAAAGCCATACCAATTGTTCAAGTGTAAAGAAATGCAATAATATTAATAAAATGATAAGAAACATCCTTTCTAGACAACATGGGGATAGCCACAGTACAGCAACATTAAGAAATGCAAGAACTATTCTCAAATAATAAAAAAAAAGAGAAGAAAAGAATAAAAATTAAATATAATTAAATATTATTTATGTTCTGAAAATACTTGAAGAGTTTATAACGAATTAAATATTATAAAATAGAACTTTTCATTAATGTGATCAAAAATATTATATTGTAACTTACTAATTGCTGGTAAAAACACAAATGCCATTTCACTCACTCCATGTCTCTCCAAAACAATATTATAATGTATCGAAGGATAAGTATAGTTAACATTTTTAAATTTTCCAATATTATTACGAACTTTTATTTTGATTATTTTGTATTCATTATGCGTTAAACCAGATTTATCAATAATAATCTGTTGTTCTACAAATCTAATCTCATCACCACTATTAATCCATGAACCCATATGAAATGTACAATTTTGTATATCAAATGGCCAATTTTTAAAATTTGTTTTACAGAAAGCAGAATGAGTACATGACGGTATACAAGAAACTTGACCTTTAAATTTTCATACTTATTAATTTTTATGCAAGTGAAAATAAAATAATATTACCTGAGCTCACAACATGACATGGTGTTGATGCACAATTCTCATCAAATTGAGTAGTTGGTCTAAAATGATAAATCAAAGATTATTTTATTTAGTAAGTTGTTAAGAAATAATGATGATTTGGCAAAAATTACTAACAAGTCAGGTTGGCCGAGCGGTCTAAGGCGCCAGATTTAAGCTCTGGTTCCCGAGAGGGAGCGTGGGTTCGAACCCCACACCTGACATCAAAAGTTTTTTTTTTTAAATTAATTTTTTTTTTAAGAGCGTGTTATACTAGAAATTCTATGTAATCATTTTTTTTTTTTGCGTTAGATCTAAAAAACACAAAAAGAAAAACTTACGAATTGAATAAAGCCAAACGTGGCATCCATATTTCATGATCTTCAAGAACAACACGACTAATTCCACCAAAATCTTTTGGATCCCATTTTAATCTTGAATCAAACCAGCTCTTTGAAATACAAAAAATTCTTTTATTTAGAATTAAAATTAAAACAAAATTATATCTTGAAAATAAAAAAAAAAAATAAAATTTTAATACTAACCATTGCGAGCCATGAATGTATGGTAATTTCAGCAGTTGCATCGATCTGTTATTAAAATAAAAACATCTTTTAGTGGTCCAGATTAATTTTTAAATATTTCATTATTAATAATAATACAAATAATTTTTATATTATATCATAAAATTTTCATTTTTGAAATATTGGAAAAAAGTATGCTTTGTTTTCAACTTTGAATAATAAAAATATTTTCGGCTTCTTTCCTGACATTTTATAGTAAACAACATTAGTTGACGTTTTTGACGTAAAAGAGAAAAAGAAATAATATAGCAATAAATGCCAAAATTTTTGTTGCTTTCGTTAAAAAGTAGTATGAATGATAATGTAGTTTAATATATGTAGTCCATATAATTTGTTACTTTGTAAAATTGACGTTCTTTTCTATATTTGATTTGATTAGAAGCGGGTTTTAGAAAATTTTTTCGAAAAAATAATATCAGTCATTAGTAATAAAATAATTCAAAAAAATTTAGAAAATATTAATTTCATAAAGTTTTGTTTGTCAAACAAGCCGCAAAAGATTAATTTAATAATTGGAATATTGTGAGATTAATTTCTTTTTATATTCTTATTAGTCATTATTTTTGCTACTAGATGTCACTAAATATCTCAAAATTTTCCTGAGATAATATTAATCATTTATTGTTCACATTTTTTGTATTCCTACTTCAGTGAAACGAATATTTAAGTGGTGACAACAACCTACTTATTTAAGACAATATATTTTTTAATTTTTACTTATTTTTCAAAAGTACTTCAATAAAATTTTATGTACTACTTTTAGTTTCAAATTATACCAACAATTAAGTAATTTTACTACTTAATGGAAGATGGCACTCAAAATTATAAAAAATTAATATAGAAAATTTTGTAGAAACGGTTTCAAGATTTAATAAATCTATGTTGTAAATTCAAAAAAAATCAAATTAAATTTTGAATATTATTCGGTTCTACCTCCGTAATAAAAACATATTATTTTAAAATTTATACTTACATAATCGAAATATTTAATAAATAATTTAACTCGTACAACTGTTCCATTTGCATTTTCTGGCCTTTCTTCAATATCCATTCCATCACAAAGTAAATGATTTTTTAATTTTATTTCATCATTTACACCATCTGATTCGCATCGCCAACATTCTGTAATTTAAATACAAAAATAATTAATTAATATAATATTTGTGTGATTATTTCTCGCAAAAATTTATCGTTTTAGGTAAGCAATGACCAGAGAAAGAGATTAACCAGAATTGTTATAAAGATTAATTTTAAACAAATTTTGTACTTGGTATCTTTAGATTTAGACTTTCAGTTAATCCGCAAAATATATTTTTGATTCAGTTTGGTCGAGTATTTAACATAGATTCAAAATTTTTACACGAAATCTTGTCTCAGTGTTGCCCGCAAATATAAATTTTAAGAAAACTATACAAAAAAAAGCATTTTTTTTTTATGGTTTCTTTATTAATTTTTATTTAGACTTGCTTCGAATCAAAATTTTGATCGAGATTTGCAATTCGGTTTTTTTGAACTATTTAATCGTAATAATTTATATGAGATTTATTTTATGTCGTACTCGTAACTATACTCATCTCAAATAGGAAAAAAAAATTATAGCTGTAGTGCTAGGGAACAATTGTTTGCGCTGGCTGCGATTCATCTTACTTTAATTGTCTTTTTATACCCGTACGAACGTATGTTCGAAGGGTATACTAAATTTGCCTTACCGTTTGTAACGCTAAGAAATAACGGTGTTAGATATAGACTCAAGTGTATGTTTTTGATCAGCGTCAAATTCTGAGTTGATTTAGCTTTGTCTGTCCGTCCGTCCGTCCGTCCGTCCGTCCGTCCGTCCGTCCCAACGATAACTCAAAAACTAATTGAGCTAAGTTCACCAAATTTTCACAATTGATTTATTGTAGTAAGTGCGAGTAATTTCAACGACTTTTATGTGGCATATTGGCCCTACTAATATATTCATTTGTGTGAAATTTCAATACCATAACTTTTATAGTTTCTGAGATATAGCCAAATAAATTTTGAAGTTGTATGGCAGCTACCAGAACCGGTACCCCGATCATGTCCGATTTAAGTAGGGTTCTGGCACTTACTATAATAAATCATTTGCGAAAATTTGGTGAACTTAGCTCAATTAGTTTTTGAGTTATCGTTGGGACGGACGGACGGACAGACAAAACTAAAACAACCCAGAATTTGACGCTGATCAAAAACATACACTTGAGTCTATATCTAAGACCGTTATTTCTTAGCGTTACAAACGGTAAGGCAAATTTAGTATACCCTTCGGACATACGGATATAAAGAAGGAATAATACCGCACAAACATACACACACACACACGCATATATACAAAAATTTTTGTCATTAATTCATTGGTGTCAGTCACACTTTATTTCATTTTTAACCACAAAGGTGGTTAAATTAAATAAAGATATTAATTAAATTTAATAAAAAATATATATATAATATATATATATGTACGAGTATATATATTTTTTAGCAAAATTGAAAAACAATGCTTATTAGTTTCATTCTGTCCGTTCGTTCGTCCAAAGGTTTTGTTCTGAAAATGTTTAAACCATGTATGATATAGAAAATTTGGAATTTTATGTAGAAATAGATCTTTGCTATAGAAAATTATTTCTTTAGAAAGAAAAATATATTAACCTATTCCTTCTCTAAAAGTTATATAGAGTCTCAAAATTTTAAAAATGCCATTTCTTATTACTTATTGTACCCGGAACTTGAAACATCTTTAAATTTTCTACAAATGCAGAAAAATAGATTCTATGGACACTAGAGATGGCAACTTGTTGGAGAGTGGAAATTTATCTGATTTTAGACTCTAATAAATAAATTCTTTCACTATAGATGGAAATTTTTTTTCTACCCCCATTGTCTTTTGAATTTTCGTTATCTTATATTTCCGAACTATTCCAAATTTCTATAAAATCGAAGAGGTAAATTATCCATCGAGGTTGATCATTATGTTAACGCTTCTTTGAATTTTTTTACTCGCTGATTCTAAATGTATGCAATAATTTGTGATATTCTAGTTCTAGTCTAGTACGTATTTTAATGAAAGTAACTTTAGTAACTAGTAGATTGTTTTAAAAGAAAAAGTATTTTTACTTGTTTAAGGAGAAAAGCGCTCTTTTGCAAATCATTTGCTTGATTCGAATTAATTATTTTATTATTTTTATTTTATAATATAACAATTAATATCTTATTATGTTATGATAAATGTTCGAAAATCTTAAATAATTTATTATTAGTTAATTACTTAATAAGATATTTTGGAAAAAGATACAATTTTGGAAAAAATAAGAAAAATGTTAAATTTGATTTCGCATTTGAAAAAATTTTGAAAATTTTTTGGCTGTTTTGAAAAATATTTTTACACTCTAAAGGGGAGCTCCGATATATGTGCTTAAAAAATGTTCGGCAAATAAATTTCAAATATTATTGGAAATTTCGAAAAAGCAAAAGCTGGTCACCTTAACTTTTTTAATAAATTTTCTAAATTAAAATATTTATAGAGTAAAAATATTCTCTATTTTATGATTGAGTGAAAAATTTTTTAAATTACAAGTGTTTTTTTTTTTTTTTGGAAGAAATTTTTGTCCTTACAAGGCAAGACGTAAAATTTATATGAATGTTCAGTTTTGATCTATAATTAAATCGTAAAATTTTAATTTTTTTTATTCAACTTCGGTCCTGGGAGAGGTAGAGGGCTGGTGCCTGATACATCATAAATAATCATGAATCAATTTCGTGCATCATTGGGTTTACTTAGTATAGGTGACGAGCCTACCATTAAAATCATATATTCATTAAAGAATTTCAAAATCACACTTTTAATTTCTATATTAATAACATGAAAACGTACTAGTGCATTCACCTTAACATTTTCTACAAAATATTATTTTTTATATTACCTGTGATACCCACTCTCAAGTATAGATCATGAAATTTTCTATATTACTAAATTTTTAGTATTTTAAATAGGATTTATATTTTTAAATTTAATCAATACATTTAAGGAAAAAAACAAAAATTTTTATTTATAATTGAGTACAAAAAAAAAATGTTATAGACCCGCGGTGGGTCAAACTTTTCGGATGGCATTTCAAAATAAAATTTTGAACTTATAAAGATGCGCTGCAAATTCAAATGTAACTTAAACAAAATATAGAAATTCATATTTATCGCATTCATTTTTGCATTTCGAGGCGACGCAAACAATATTCTTTGAATAGTGAATCTTTGCAAGTGATTCATAATAAAACTTAAAAGTAGTCATTAATGTAAAGTTCATTTTATAATTTTATTCTTGCGATATTTTGGTAAATATTCTAAATATTTTGATCGTTTAGCGGACTACCGGTTGCCTTTACCTCTCTTATTGACTATAAAGTATAAAAAGGATGTAGACTGTTATAAATTTACAAGAAACCAGAAGAAAAAAAAGGAAATTGCATTAAGTGTTATATGAATATTTTTCGATATACTCGTACTATAGCATAAAACATAAACGGATTAATTAAATTTAAATGATACACAGAAAAGTGAAATGAAATTCAATGCAACCTTTAAATTAAAAGAAGAATTTTTGTTATTTTTAACGCTGATTAAATTAAATTTTATATTTTTACTATTTTAAAAAATACACTGTAAAAAAAAATCGTGTAAAATTACTTCAATAGTACTAGGAATCTGAATTCCCAGTATAATTGTAATGAAAATGCTCAACGATAGTAAAATATTACACCGTCGAGTAATTCACAAATTTCACTTTTTTGTAGAGTAAATTTTTTACTAGATTATAGAGGAAATTTACTTTACAAAATAGTACAAAAATTACTCTTCGATGAGTAATAATAATCTGAACTACTAATTTTAATTTTCGACATAGTAATTTGCATTCAGGTATATTAATCTATTCCTCCTGTCAAAGGAGTAATTTACTTTACTAGAGTAGAATTTATACTATTTGTTCGAGTAATATTGCACCATTATTATTTTTCTGTATTTATAGTGGAATTTTAAAGTGTCTTACTGAAATTCTTACAAATATTATGTATCCTAATATATATGTATAAATTTTCGGCACCTGAATATAATAAATTATTAATTTATATAAAATATACAACAATACAAAAAAGTTTTAAATGACTGCAAGTAATCTTAGGTATTCAATATACTGACTAGAGATGAAATATTTAAAACATTATTTTTGATTTTTATTAAATCAATAAAAATATGAATTAAATAATTTCCATATTTTCAGGCATATTTTTATTTATGAGTCGGAATACAGAAGGTTTGAATGGCTTTTGGGGAGGCGTTCTAAATTGACAATATACAACAAAGTTTTGATATATAATCAAATATTTAAGCCTGTCTGGGCTTACGGTATTCAGTTATGGGGCTGCGCTGCGCAGACTCATATCCAATCTATACAAAGATTTCAAAATAGAGTATTACGGGACATTGTAAACGCCCCTTGGTATGTCCATAATGCCGATATATACAGGGATCTCACGATCCTAAGTGTTAGAGACGAAATTAAAAAGCAAGCAGCCAGTCATAAAGCTTTTTATCTCGAAGAATGAGTACTTAGTACGCTATTGTGCCAGATCAAAAGCTTGTAAATAATCAAAAAAGTTAGAGCAAAATTAATGGTTAGTCGTTTCCGACTAGTTTTATAGTTTATTTTGAGGAGGGTGTTTTTTAGTGGATTAAAGTTCCACACTACTGCTTTTCGTCTGGTAGTGTCTTTCGAGATTTTTCACCCTTCCTCTCGGTAAAAAAAAAATATATTTTTATTTGAATAAAAACTATTTAATATTACTTATAACTAAAACATTTTACAAAAATTAAAAAAATGCAAAACAAAACAATAGAATAAACTTTATACATACTTAACTTATATATTTCGATTTTAAAATTGTAACTTCTAAATTTATGTATTACTTGAAACACAACCTTAATCTGATATCTCTTAATTTAAATTGAGAAAAAATTCAAAAATGATGGCTTATTGTCAAAAGTTACTCTACAAAATAGTAATATGTTAAAAAATACTTCGTAAAAATGAAAAATCACTTCTACAAAGTAAATTTTACTCTACTTTGAAGTAATATTCAACTTGATATATTATTATTACTCTCTTTTAAAGTAAAATCACTATACAGCATTAACTTTGCTCGATTTTGTCGTAAATTTACTCGCTAATCGAGTAAACTGCAAAATTACTCTCCAATTGAGTAAAATTTAATATTCTATAGCGTATATACTGCAGTAATTGTATTAAAATATAAATTTTTTACAGTGTACTTATTTAATTATTAAATTTTAAATATGTCTTTGGTTACAATCAATATTTTGCCATGATTGAAAGGATTTTCGCATGAGATTTTCAGAGAAAAATGGTGAAACAGAATTTAGTTGTTGCTATCATCTTTATACCATCGATTTATCTTAAAAAATTATCGAATATGCAGAAATAAGAATAATTATTGAGATCTTATAGATTTTATTTAAATTTTCCTGTATGGTCTCCTAATCATTTAGTTAAAAAGAACACTATGGAAATTAAAATTAGTTTTTAATTTTAAATTTGTGTATTTAAAAGTCAAGTGCGTCAAGGCTCATTTTAACGAAATATTTTTTAATATCTGCATTGAACGATCAATAAATCTATCACAAGCAAACCTAAGACAAATTGAATGCTTAAATTTTAAATTTTAAATAATTAGTTTTTTATTTAAATATTTTTAACTTTCGGTTGCGGTTTATTCACAAAATAAATTTGTTAATAATGGTAAATAACCACATTAGTTTAATAAGATACGAGTATATACAAAATATTACAATAACAAATTTATTTAAAATTTTAGAAAGTTTTATTAAATTAAAACTGTTAGTGTTTGGTAGAATTCAAAATTCAGCTATTTGTAAATTTTTGTAATTTTTAAAAACATAGAAAAATTGGAAAATTTTGGATTGTTCTGAAAGATCTCCTATATATGTAATGTGTTGTACAAAATATTATTAAACTGTTTATTTCGAACTAACGTAAAAGAAAGACATTATAATAATTAGATTCTGTATGAAAAAAATTGGATATAAGTTCAAATTTTAGTATTAAGTGGTTCAATTCGAATTCGCTTGAATAAAGTGGAGTTGTTAAAAATTGTTAATAATTTGATTGTATTGTTGAAAAATTTTAATTTGAAAAAAATTAAGCAGTTGAAATTAATTCAGCTTATGCTTATATGTAAAGGTTTTCATAATTTATAAAACTTTTGATATAAAACTAACAATATTAAAATAAATGGCATTATGGCATTTCTTATTTGAGATCCGAATTAGAAGAAGAAAATAAAATGGATCGGCCACATTCTAAGATGGATCAAGCCCCACTCTAGATCCCCAAGAACGCCAAGAAATGTTGAAAGATCAAAAAAAGACCTGGAGGAGTGGTGTTGAAAAAGAAATAAATCAATCAGACAAAAACATGGGAAGAAATAAAGAAATTGTTACAAAGCACAGAAAATTGGAGAGGTCATGTAGAAGCCCCAAGTCTCCTAGGGAAAAAACAAGGAAAGGAATAAAAATGGCATTTTAAAAATAGCATTTTTTTTTTAAAAATCTTAACAATGATCTCAACAATGCTGGATAGGAATTCTCGCAATCATTTTGTCAAAATCGATCGAAATCAATACGAATCCCAATTTATCCTTTTATT